AAGACCTCTAACTTGTGCATCTGAGAGTGGGCAGGCCACATACTGGGGAGTCCAGCCCCAGCAGCATTGGCTGGGCCAGAGTTACCATGCTTCCTTCTCCATCTACCTGGTATTCTAACATCTATACACTAGTGGGGAAAGAAAAGCCAGTCGTCATAGAAATAACTCATGAAGCCTTGAATTTTGGCAGTGGAAATACAGAATTTCAGTTCAACTACTAGAAGACTGTTAAGAAATACACTATGAACTTTCATTTGGAGGCTTACAGTACCTGTTTATTTATAAGTTGATAGTGTTAATCATTAAATTAAAGGCTTAAAAACTTCAAGGTCTTCGTTTGAAGAGAGATGAATTTATAAAGGGAAAGAAGACTACTGCCTCAGAAACCTATTTCACGTACTGACCTATTCAGTCATTGACTACTGTGTGAGTGGTTGTCTTTGTTTCGATTTTCAAGGCTACTCTACATTTCTGGTAAACCACAAGGTAAAGGCTGGTCCCTGAGAAGCAGATGTTTTGCTGGTTTTGAGGCCTTGTGGCTTTCCATAGAGAAGTAACAGCATAGGCCACATGAAGCTTTTACTTCCTTCTTTTTTTAAATGGGGCCAAGGGTGCTTTGCACTTGATGGCACTGTCTTTGATACACATTAACAGCTGTAGTAGGTCTGTGTTCACCACCAGATGTCAAATTCTTATTTCTGGAAGTAATTAGTTTGAGATGCCTGTGGGACATTCAAGTGAGTTCCCAGTGGACTTGGACCATACATTTAGCCTTAGAAATGTTAGTGAGACTTTCCGTAGATATTTAGAGTCAAGGGAACAGTAGAGATCATATTGGGAGGGAGTTTGGAGAGCAGAAAGCCTAGAACAAAGCTTTGGGCCAGTCCAACATTTAAAGGTGGAGTAGAAAATCAGACCAAGTGGTATGAGGGAAACTAGGAGAGTTTGGTGTCATGGAGTCAAGAGGTTAGCTCTATTACAAGAGTTCACAGTCCATTTCTGTGGCCCAGGCCCTTGTCATCTCCTGGCTTGTTTCACTTACACATCAGACACTTGGGGAGCACAAACTGCCTGGTGCGATACGGAGGCACTGGGTATAAGATATAATTCCTGCCTTTTTAGAGTTTATGGATTTGATGGGTGTATGAGGCCGTGTGCAAATACACAAACGAATGGGACGGAAAGTTCAGAAGATTTCATTTTAGAGTGGGAGGGGGTTTGAGGCTTGGGTTTGAGGTGAATCTGGGGGTGTCTTATCCAGACTCTGGAGTTCAGACAAAGGTCCTAGCGGGGGCCAGTTGGCATTGCTGGACATCTGGTTGGAAAAGCAGGCCGAGACAGGTTTCTGGAGAGCCTTGACTTCAGGGCTAAGGGGTGTAAACACCGTCTCGCAGAGGCTACAGTGCTCTTCCTAGGTAGGTCGGGGCTGGGGGCAAGGTAGTGTAGGACTCGGGAGGAAATCAGTCATTTTGAAAAATTCCTTGGTAGAAGTTTGTAAATGGCTGAATGGAGGAGATGGGTTGACAGGTTAGTTATTAGGAAAGAGAGAGAGGCCTGGCTGGGATGGGCAGGAAAGGGAGGCACTGAAAGACCTTTCTTAGGAGGAGGACTGAGGACTCAGTGATCCCTGCTGGGTCCAAGAGGGAAGTGCAGAGTCACAGATAGTGGTACCACAACAGAGGACAGTTACCACTGGAGACTCTTACCTGCATTTTGTGAGTGTGGCAGTGAAGTGAAGCCCATGGATTTGGGGGCTTGTTTTGAATTCCAATTTTGCCTCTAGGGAGTTGGGTAACCTTAATCCTATTACGTAACTATCTGTGCCTCAGCCTCCTTGTCTGTAAAATGGGATGGTTCTGAGGACTTTGAATTAATATATATGAGGTTCCTGGTATATAGCAGGTACTCAGTTAACTATTGGTTGAATGGATGATGTTCAGAGGATTGCATCATAATAAATGGAAGAGACAAGAGCTGAATCTGTTTGTCCAACTCTGATGTTCCAGAATCAGCCTTTCTCACATGCCGCCTTCACTGTGTGAACCTCCTAGAGTGAACCTGTTGTGTGTCACTTGGAATCACGCCTGGTTCAGATTGCACGGTCCTGGCGTTCCATGGTCTGACTCATGCCAGATCGCCCCCTCAGCTTTGTGTAGTAGGCTCTGTCTCCATAACCCACTTCC